GAAAGAAAGAAAAAAGGGAGGGAGGGAGTGAAGAAGGAAGGAAGGAAGCAAGTGGCTTGCCTAGGTGTCTCTTTAATATCAGAACAGAGAGACTCAGCATGCACCTGGAAAGAGAAAGGAGTGGGTTCCCCTAGTCTTCTTTGGCTACCAGCTCCCTGCTGCGGGGATGCACCCACAGGCCTTCCTCTGCCCGGCCGGAACCAGCCTTCCCCGCTTGGCACAGGCATGGCCACTAGAGGGCATCATCACCCCTCCCCTCACTGCGATTCATTCTCCCCTTCTGCTTTGAAATGAATAGTCCCCAGAGCTGCTACCGCTCAAGACTTTGCTGAGGACCAGATGTGAACTAAGCCTGCAGCTTCTCTGCCTTCAAGGTATTCCAGACCAGTGGGTGAGGGAGACAGACACCTGAGACCCATACACAACAAAGGGGTGCTGGGCCAAGTCCGGCAGGGGCTGCCCCGCTCTGCATGGGAAAGGTAGGGCAGGACACTCTGGGAGGGGCTAAAGGGGCCCTGCTCTCTGGGGGGGCTGCATCCAAGACTACATCCAGTGACCATCATCAGACTCCCCAGAGAACTGAGCTTAATAGCTTCCACCCCTGCAGACCTCTGTCCTGTCTTTACGGCAATTTTCCCTAAGCTGCTTTGTGGAAGCCTGGAGAATTCTCCCTCCCCTCCTCCCACCCATGCTTCCAGTAAGCTCAGGGTTAGCCATGTGGCCTTCAGCAGCATTTATTGAGTGCCTGCTCTGTGCCAGGTGTGGGTGAGGGAGGCAAGCAGAGGAGAAGCAAGGCAGGCCAAGGTGTGGTGAGCACGGAGGCAGTGCCGTGAGGGACTCTGGCTCAGGGTTATTCGGTCGTGGGTCCCTGGCAGAAGTTCCAGTTATAGAAGTGGTGGTTGTCCCTGGTCAGGGCTATGCCTAGCTGAGCCCAAAAGCTGCGCTGACCGCTGGGCTGGTGGGGCCACAGGAGGACACTCTGGCGGCAGAGGCGCTGGCGCAGCCGCACGTAGCGGGAGCGGCGGCCTTCGGGGCTCAGGATCACCAGTACCACGACGTCCTTGCGGTCCTCCAGCAGGCGCTGCTGGGCCAACAAGAAGCTGGCGCGCAAGAGGCCACTGACCCGGTCCGTGTGGGCCAGCACAAATAGCATCTTTCGGCTGCCATAGACCGAGGCCCACAGGTTCTCAAAGAGGGTCTTGCCAGGTAGCCAGTCACGCTCCTCCAGGCACAGGCGGAGTGCCCAGCGCCCACGGCGCTCCTCCAGCTGCCTCCGAAGCTCATTGTACACCCAGTCTGCCACGGCGCTCTGCGCCTTGTCGAAGACCACGAAGGCATCATAGGGCAGGGCATCCTCACCTCGTCCACCTCGCCGCCCCCACCGGGGAAGCCAGGCCAGGCCCAGGTAGAAGCAGTACCAGAGGTCCCAGCCACAGAGTTGATGCAGCAGGGGCACCCCCAGGCCCAGAGCCACAGCCAGCAGCGAGAAGCTGAAGCAGTCCCGGGAGAGGGCCTCATCCAGGCAGAGGCGCAGGTCCTGTGCGAAGATGCTTTGGCCCTGGAGCTGGGTGGGACTGCCACACCTCACCTGGCTGGGCAGGCCAGGCACTGCAGCCTGCACCTCCAGCAAGAAGTCCACAAAGGCCGCCCCACAGGCGCAGTGCAGAGGGTTGGTGCTCACATCTAGTATTTTCAGGGCACCCACCAGGGGCCCAAACCAGGAGGGGTCCACTGTCTTGAGGGCGTTGGCACTGAGGTTGAGCTCTCGAAGCTTCTTGGCCTTGGAAAAGAAGCCCGGGGCCACGAAACTGATGCTGTTGCCGCTGACGTCCAGCTTCCGGAGCTGGGTCACGGCAGGCAGGCTGCCGTTGGTCAGGGCCTTCAGCTGGTTTCCTGCCAGGTCGAGGGCTTCCAATTTGCGCAGGAGGGCGAGGCTCCTCCACTTAAAGAAGGCCAGCTTATTGTCACGGAGACGCAGCACCTGCAGGGTCTTGGGGAGGTTGCCCAGGGTACGGGGCAGGAGGGTGTGCAGGCTATTCTGGGACAAGTCCAGCCAGATCAAGCCGCTCAGGCCTTGGAAGAAGTGCAGATAGAGGTCTCCCTCGGCCCACATCCGGCCCAGCGCATTGCCGCTGAAGTCCAGGGCCCGCAGCGAGGTGCTGCAGAGCTGCGGGGACACTCGGCTGTGGATGTTGTTGTGGGCCAGGCTGAGGTACCGCAGGGTGCGCAGGTGGGCCACGAAGCTGAAGTTGTGACCCACACCCTGCATGCCAAAGGGCTGGCTGTTGTAGCTGAGGTCCAGGGCCTCCAGCCGCGGTAGCTCCGTGAATGAGTGCTCGTGGTACAGATCCAGCTTATTGTGGGACAAGTCCAGCACGCGCAGATCAGTCAGTGGCAGGAACTGCGAGCCATTGACCGCCTGCGTGATGCAGTTGTGGCTCAGGCGCAGGCACTGCAGGTGCGAGAGCCGGGCAAACATCTCCGGTCGCACGGTCGCCAGGTTGTTCCGCGACAGGTCCAAGGTGAAGTTGAGGGTGTTGCAGTTGGCCATGAAGTCTTCAGAGCTGGGAGTGTCCACTGGGGCTGGAGCAAGGTCCCCGGGCTGCAGCCAGACCTTTTCCCCACCGTCCGCCTCCCCCGTGGTGGCCACCAGCTCTGAAGCTCCACCGATGCGGTTGTCCGACAGGTCCACATGGCGCAGGCCGGGGAAGGCCCCGAAGATGCCGAGCTGGGCTTGGTTGATGAAGTTCATCTGCAGATGCAGAGTCTGGAGCCTGGACAGGCGGGCCAGTGGCCGGAGCGTGGTCTCATCGAGCGAGCGGAAGAAGATGCCGTGCATGTCCAGCTCCTCCAGTGAGAACAGGCTCCCGAAGGATGGGGCCAGAGACAGGTGGGCAAAGGACACCCTCTTTTGATAATTGAAGGACAGGTTGAGCTTGCGCAGCTGTGTCAGGCCCTGGAAGGCCTTGGTTTTGGTGATGCATTCGTAGAGGAAGTTCTCACTCAGGTCCAGCACTCGGAGGTTTCCCAGCCCATGGAACCAACTGGCATTCAGCCAGGAGAGAGAACTGTCCTTCAACACCAGGCCTTCAAGACGGCTCAGGTGGCTGAAGGTATCGGGGTGTAGCTGGGGGAAGTGACGAGGGCACTCCATGCAGGGGTTGGGAGCGTGGTCGCAGCGCCGGCAATTTCCGCCCACATCGAGCACACGCAGGGCGGTCAGATTGGCCAGGTCCCCAGGCGCCAGTTTAATAATGTGGTTGTAGGACAACAGCAGATACTCCAGGCTGGAAGGCAGGTTGCGGGGCACCATGGTGAGGTTATTGTACTTAAGCGACAGGTGGGTGAGGTTGCCCAGGCCAAGGAGAGCACCCGGGGCCACTTCCAGTGCCTGCCTGCAGGGGTTCTTGTAGTAACAATTGCCATCCATGAATAGGAAGTGCAGGGCATGAAGGCCAGCCAGGCTGGCAGAATCTAGCACCAGGATGTTGGTGTGGCTGAGGGTCAGGGACACGAGGGATTTGGGCAGTGCAGGCACAGCCGTGATGCTATTGTAGCTCAGGTTTAGCTCCTCTAGGGTGGGCACAGCCAAGAAGGTGTTGGGCTCAATGGTCATGTGGCAGGGGAAGTGCATGGGGCTGAGGCCGACCGGTGGGCAGTTCCACTTGAGGTCGAGACGCCGCAGGCTGGGCAGATGGGCAAAGTCAGAATCATGGAGGTGGTGGATGCGGTTGGAGGACAAGGAAAGGCTGGTGACATTGCCCCGGGGTGCTGCCACGGAGAAGTGGGGCACCGACTTCAGGAACAGCCAGTTGCAGTTCACCAGGCCATGGGGCTGGAGCTCACAGGGTAGGAAGGCAGGCAAGGTACCCAGGGCCAGGGTCATGACCAGCACCATGGCCTGCACCAGGAGAGACAGCGGGTGCAGGGCGCTGCGGCAGAATCCCTGTGGGGGTGGGAGGGCTGTGTGAGTGGCTGGCCCCCAGCCCCACCTCCACCCACTTCACTTCATGGGTATCTTCCAGCATCTTCCAGCCCCTCTCTCCAAGCCCTCCCTCCAGAAGTTCTTTCCTGTTTGCCAAGCCCCCTTCCCATCCTCCATGGCTTGTGGGGAACCTGAACTCAGTCTCAAATCCAGCCATGGACTCAGAATTAGGCCTCAGATCCAGGACTGAGACCTGGAATCCAGACTCATGGTCTGGAGCTTTCACTGTAACCAATCCCTGGCTGTCCAGCAGGGTCAGGCAAGGTGGCCCACAGCCCTCGTGGACTCTCCCGACTTTCTCTTCCTGCTCTTGAGTAAGGTGGCAGCTGGCTCCCTCCCCTCCAGCTGCCGTGAAATCCGCTCTCTGCCCTCCACCAGCCTCCCCCCAACCCTTTCCTTTCCCTTCGACCAAAACCCAGGCATGCATGAATCTCCCACAATGGTCCAGGATCCCAGGGTCCCTGACCAGGGTGGGCACTGCACAGCTCCATTACTCTCTACCTGCCTTTCCCAGCCCGAGAGCCCTTGCCCTGTGAGTCAGAACAGATGGAGGGAGGGGTGGCCAGCAAAGCACCAGGCAGAGCCCAGCTCTAAGCTGCAGGCCCAGTGAGACACAAGTCCAGGCTCCAGCCGGAGCTCCGTCACTGCCTCAGCCTCCTTGTGCCCTCTGCGGGTTTGGGTCTCTGCTCAGAAGAGGGCTTTGGTGACCGGGCACAGTAATTCTGTGCCCGGATTCAAGCTTGTAATCCCAGAACTTTGGGAGGCCGAGGTAGGCAGATCACCTGAGGTCAGGAGTTTGAGATTAGCCTGCCAACATAGTGAAAATCCGTCTCTATTAAAAAATACAAAAAATTAGCCAGGCATGATGGTGGGTGCCTATAATCCCAGCTACTCGAGAGGCCGAGGCAGAAGAATCACTTGAATCCCAGAGGTGGAGATTGCAGTGAGCCGAGATCGTGCCATTGCACTCCAGCCCAGGCAACAGTGTGAGACTCCGTCTCAAAAAAAAAAAAAAAAAAAACAAAATTAGCCGGACATGGTGGCACATGCCTGTAATCCCAGCTACTCAGAAGGCTGAGGCAGGAGAATCACATGAACTCAGGAGGCAGAGGTTGAGGTGAGCTGAGATTGCGCCATTGCACTCCAGCCTGGGCAACAAGAGCAAAATTCTGTCCCAAAAAAAGAGAAAAGAAGAAGAGGGCTTCAGCTCTGCTGTGTTTGGGGTTCAGTAAGTGTCCCCAGGGCCATGTGGGTGACAACCCCTGTTACAGTTGCTTGCAGCTGCCAAGCCCACCTCTCTCCCCACACCTCCCCAGCATGTCCCTTCTCCAGGGGACTAAGAGCTGTTGTCCTACCATGCTGGGGAGCAGGGTCTTCTCCAGAGGGTGGCGGGCAGACTGGACAGCAGCTGCAGGGAAGGATGCTTCACATTCAAGGTCCCTTCCCACAGGGGCAGCAGTGGCTCAGAGAATAGAGGAAGTGAGACTTTTACCCCAGCCAAGTAGCTCCCCCTCCACTCCACCCTGCCCACAGTGAGGACAGGGTCCCATGAGTCAAAGGCCATTTGCATAGTCAAATGGCAGACAGCCCCTTCACCCCTTCCTCTTTCCACTCCCCCCTCAGACAGCCTACATCCCATGAGGGCTGCGCACCTGTCCTCCACCAAGCCCAGGGTGAAGCTAAGGCCCGAGCCCAGGCGGAAAGCAAGGAGAGATGGGAGTTCGGGTAGCAGCAGTAGCGGGTACACCTGTGCTGGGCCCTCCCCATTCTCAGAGGACTCTTTCACCCTCAGGCCTTGGCTCCTGCACCACAGCTGGTGCCCTCAGGACAGTGGCTCCCGACTTGTCCTTTCCTGCCCTCATGGGCACCATTTTGAGTTCTGCAGAGCCTCGTGCTCAGAGGGCTGGGGTGTAGGTTAAGCAGGAGGCTGGGGTGCACCTGCCTTCACCACAGCCTTGCAACCTCTTCCGGAAACAAGACCTCCTCCTCTGCATTCCCAGAGCCCCTGCGGTCCCATCAGAGCACACACCACGTCACTCCAGACGGGGCTCCTAGAGGCCAGGTGTGCACTGGCCCAGCGGGGCTCCCAGCTGGTCCTCCCCAGCAGTGCTTCTCACAGTCCTTCTGACCTAGGTGACAGAACTCAGATTCCTTGGACCCAAAGCCTTGGGTGACCCCAGGCCCCTCAGCAAGTCCTGCTGGCTCCACCATGCTGAAGGATGTGCCCACAGCCCGCCACCCCCCATGTCGACCAGACCCCATCCTCTCTCCCAGACCCACGCGGGTGCCACTGCCTTTCTGGCTGTCCTGCCCTACTCTCCACCCACAGCTGGTCATATTCAACCCCTGGAGGGACCTGTTCAAACATAGGTCACACTGGGTCCCTCCTCTGCTCAGACCCCTCCCTGGCTGCCTCAGGAGTCAAGGCCACAGTCCATAGATGGCCAACAAGGCCCTGTGGGACCTGCCTCTGCTGGCACACCTGCCTCTTAGGCACACTAGCCTGCTTGCAGTTGACTGAGTAGCCCCCGGCACTCTCCTGCCTCGGGGCCTTGGGATGTGCTGCTCCCTCTGCCTGGAAGCTCTCCCGAGTCTCACACGGCCCCTTCTTCACCTCCACTGTGTCTCTGCTTCCATGTCACCCTCTCAACAGGACCACCCAGTCTTCTTACAAACCTCCCACTCCAGGTCTAGCAGCCTGAGCTCCTTTGCCCGCTGTGTTTCTCTTTTTTTTTTTTTTTTTTTTTTGAGACAGAGTTTCGCTCTCTTGTTCCCCAGGCTGGAGTGCAATGGCGCGATCTCGGCTCACCGCAACCTCCGCCTCCCGGGTTCAGGCAATTCTCCTGCCCCAGCCTCCTGAGTCGCTGGGATTACAGGCATGCGCCACCATGCCCAGCTAATTTTTTGTATCTCTAGTAGAGACGGGGTTTCACCATGTTGACCAGGATGGTCTCGATCTCTTGACCTTGTGATCCACCCGTCTCGGCCTCCCACAGTGCTGGGATTACAGGCTTGAGCCACCGCGCCCGGCCGCTGTGTTTCTCTTGACCTAACATTTTCTGTTAGCACACCGGATCATTGATCTTTCATAGTTCATTGTATATTGTCTTATTCCCCTGCTGGAATGTCAGCCTCTTGAGGGAAGTGATCTTTTGTCTGCATCCCCAGGACCCAGTATAGTGCCCAACACATAGTAGGTGCTTGATATCTGCTGAATTTTGAGTACCCGGCAATCAGCTCTGGGCAGGCAGAGAGGAGAGGGTGTTTCTGAGTGAAGGCTGAATGAATGAACAAATGGGGTTGCTGCTGGGAAGAGGCAGGCTGTACACCTGCCAGCCCGCTCCCCCCAGGCCCACTCTGGCTGGGTCATGACAGGCAGTCTCCAAGGCAGGGGTGATGGTATCGTCTTCCTGCCCACCTGGGAGCCAGTGTTTAGGCTGGGCAAGGACAGCCCTCTTCTGGGTCCTAGCTAGGGTTTGGGCTATCCTCTCTACAATTCTAGGGGCTTGAGCAAGGGCTCAGAAAGGTGCCAGGGATAGAACGCTGCCCTGAGCCAGGAGGGAGGGCAGTGCCCACTCAGCAGCTGGGCTGCAGGCATCGCCCCACGTGTCCGCCCCTGCCTGCCTGGGGTGGGAGGCGCCTGCATTCATTCCCTCCATCCACCTTTCTGACTGTCCTGCCCTGCAGGCACACACCAAAGTTTTGGCTCCTGTGGAACCCCAAGCCCAAGACTCTCCCAGAGTCCCTCGGACCAGGGACCCAGATTCCCATACCCAGCAGTGGTCCTGCCTCCCTTGGAGGCAGAAAACCAGAGAGGCCAGTAGGCTGACAGCGGGGTCTGCACACACATGTACAGACCCATGCACATGGACACACTCAGCCTGGAGACACCGATACCAATGTCCACAGAAACAGCTGTCCTGGCCTCAGCCCAGGGAGGCTGGGACCTTCAGGGAGGGGCCCTTATCCCATGCAGGAGGCTGCATAAAGCCCCTCTCAGAGATCCTTGCCCTAATTCCCCAAACCTGCCAACACATGACCCTAACACCCAACATGGAGTGTGGCCAAAAGGACCTCAAAGATGTGATTAAGTTACCCACCTTGAGGTGGGAAGGTAGTGGGGGTAGGGAGGGTGAATGCAATCACAAAGTCCCTTATGAAATGGAGACGGAGGGAGATTCAACTCCAAAAGGCCATGGGAGCCCGGAGGCTGAGGGAAGCAGAATCAGAGATGTCACCTCTGGCTTTGAAGGTGGACGAAGCGGCCCCAAGCCAAGGAAGCCAGACAGCTTCTGAAAACCAGAAAAGGCCAGGAGACAGGTTCTCCCGCAGGGCCCAGACAGAGCCTGCCCTGCCAACACCTCCACTTTGGAAGTGAGACCCATCTCAGTCTTCCAGCTTCCAGAACTGTAAGAGGATACACTTGGGTTTCTTCTAAGCCACTAAGTTGGTGGTAATTTATTACGGCAGCCACAGCAAATGAACATACCCAGGTCCCCCATGTCACGATGGAGGCGCGCCTGCCTCTCAGGCAGGCTCCTGCTGACCGGGAGACTGGAGCAAGGCTGCGCCCCTCCCCCCACAGACACAGCCTCTCCCATATAGCTGGAGGCAGAGCGCCAGGGCTCCACCTTGAAGGCCGGCAGTCCCCTCTCTCCTGTTGGGAGAGGACAGTTATATGCACAGGGCTGCCCAACTCCCAGGGCCAGAGGCGGTCTCAGGGCCAAAAGCAAGTCTTGATTTAAAAATATTTTATTCTTTAGAAAATACAGCATTCAACCATACCAAACTGCAGTGACCCCTGCCCAGCCCTGACTGACCCCGCCTCTTGTGGCCAAAGGCTTCTGGGCTGTGCTGGGACCCTAGTCTCAGCTCCCCGGGAGGCCGGGTTCATGACAGGCCCCTGATCCAGCCCCCTTGAGCCAGCCAGGCAGAGTTCCCGGACACCCTGGGCACACAGATGAGACGCAGGGACAGCAACAGGGAAGGGTCACAAAACACCAGCCCAGTGGCCCTCGGACACTGCAAGGGTGTTCAACTGCCAGTCCTCCTGCCCTCCTGGAAGCACTTTCCTGGGGCCCAGGAAGGAGGATGGTGGCAGGGAGCAGAAGGCAGGCAGCCCCACAGTCCACACGCGGTGGCCGGCCCAGCTCCGGCCCCCTAGCTGTCATCCCCGTTCTCCCCGGGGCCGCGGATGAGGCGCTTGTGGCCCCGTTTGCCCCCTGGGCCCTTGGGCTTGGCAAAGGCCTGCTTGAAGGCATGTTGCTTGGGGTGCACCTCGTCGTAGAGGAACTCTGCCGTCAGCTCTGCCCCATCGCCAATCTCAATCTGCATGGGGCAAGGCCGTGGTCACCCCGATGGTAGGGGCTCTGACACATACCACCCCGGTAGCCCCCACTCCTGGGGCACCCCCTGATCTCACATCCTAGCCCTGGGGTCTCCTGAGGTCTCCCCTTGAAACCCCACCTGGAATGCCACCCTCAGGAACACAACAGCTTAGGGCCTGCTACCCTGCATGCCTCGGACTCTGCTCGCTGGGGTCACTTCCTCCCTGTCTCCAGGTCCAGGGAAAGGACATGACATAGTGGCCAGGACTTGGACGTTTCTGAGCCAGCAATCAGCTGGGCAGTCTTGGGCAATGCATGTCACTCCTTGGGGCTCAGGTTCCCTGTGATCAACATGGCATCAATGATTCCTGCTCTGCCATCATCTCAGGACCCCAATGCCTGGTATGGAGATTGGGGTGACAGGGCCCAGGGAGACAAGGCCCTGGGGAGGACACCTACTTTCTTGGCGATCTCCAGATGGAAGTCCTGCTCCACGGAGTCGAGGAGGCGGCTCTTGCAGCTGGAGTAGAGCATGCGCTCCTTGATGCTGCACTTGTACCCCGGCATGGAGTAGATGAACACTGCGAAGGACAGGAGGTGAGCCTGGGAGGCCTGGGAAACCTGTTGACCTTCACACCCAGGGCAGGCCCGCCCCACCGCAGACCAGCCCTGCCCTGCCCACCCAGCCACAGGCTTGGCAGCCCTGCCATGGCCACTCACCCACAGACTCGAGGGGGTCACCCTCATGGGTGTGCTTGTAGAGGAAGAAGTGGTAGCGGGCAGCATCTCGGGGCACCCGGGAGGGCAGCTGGGCCACATCCGTGGGCTCTGTGTGCACCAGCCCAATGGTCTCCCGCTCCAGGTCCAGCTTCTGCCGGGGCCAAGGGGAGATGGAAGAGCACCAGGTTGGGGTGGGCCCAGGCCCCTCTCCCTAAGAAGCCTCAAATAGGGTTAGCTGGTGGGCAGGAGCCTGACGTGACCTCCCTCTCCCAAGACTCCCCTGCAATGGCCATCCCTCTATGTGGATCCCCTCTGAAGAGGACAGTCCTGGGTCCAGCCACAACTCTGCCCCTTTGAAGGCTGTGCTGAGAAGGAACTCCCACCAAGGGTAGAAACGGCATGGGACAAGACAGTGTGGAGGGTCTCGACCTCCGGGAGACACTGCCACTGGGCCAGCCCGTCCTTGAGGCCAGGCCTCTGGGAGAAGCTCCTTGGAAGGGAGGAGCCATTTTGCTTCAAAGGGGCAGCCAGAATGGCCAGCACAGAAGGACCCTGCCTAGGGAAACAGGCTGCTCAAGGAGACTGCAGAGGGAATCTGGGACAGGAAGGGGCTTGGGGCTGAGGGGTCAGTGTGACCCCAGGGGTATGTGTGGAAGGCAGAATGGGGCAGTGTGCTCACAAGTATACCTGCGTATGGGCAGGGCCTGGGGGACAAGGGACCAGAGCACATCTATGTGCACACAGTGGCTACAGCCGGGATGGAATAGGTAGGGATCAGGGAGGGGTGAGGTGGACTGTGTGTTCCCTCAAGCACATGGACAAGCTGAAGGGGACGGGGGCAGGCTGGTGGGGCAGGGATTCCGTGCACATCTGCGCATGTGCATGAGCAGGAGTAGAGGTGGCAGCAGCATGTGCCAGGGTAGGGAGCAGGAACCCACCAGCTGGATGTAGTTGACCGTCTTCTGCTTGAGCTGCTGGAGTGCCCGCTGGGCCTGGGGCTGCAGGGGGAAGGCGAGGCCCTGCAGGGTCTGGTGCTTGCTTTCCACGCTGATCTCCGTCTTCACCTGCGAGCAAGGGAATGGTGAGGGAGCCCCTCACCAGCTCAAAGCACGTTGTGGCTCCCAGGCAGCACAGGCTGCCAGTGGGCCTGATGTGACCCTGAGGGCTCAAGGCTGGGACCTCTGCTCCCCACCCACCTCGTTGATGCGGATCTGCTGAAGCTCTCTCTCGGCCGAGGTCAGCGGGGCAGGTGCTGCACAGGATGACAGGTGTTTCTGGTACCCAGCAAAAGAGAGGTCGTCCTGGGGGGGATGGGGGTGATTGCTGAGCCATAAATGGGTACCTGCAGGGGGCGGCTACAGGAAGCCCACCAAGCACACCAGCTTGCAGTTCTTGGAAGAGCGCCCCCATCTTCCTCCTAAGGCTGGCACTGGCTTGCTCTCTGACCCTGCACAATGACCCGTCTCCATGGGCCCGGGACTATGTCCCAGTAAGTCCTGACTTAGAGTTACCTTCACGGTCCCAAAGAGCTCATCCTTGATGTGGCCACCTCCAAACTCCTTTTTCACTGTGGCCCGTGTGGCCGCATACAGCATCTTCAGCCGCACCTGAAGGGCAAGGGCCAACTGTGAGAGGCCTCTGGGCAGGGCGGTCTCTCCAAGAACAGGCAGGCACCTCTGGAGGGAGCTGGTAGGCT